ATTTATAAATAAGTACTTGTAAATATAAAAATATAATGATTTTTTATATAAAATATACTTATATAGCAAGTTTATAAAATTAATAATTAATCTATTTTTAAATAAATAAATTTAGATATAGCTTATGGCTAGATGTAGCCTATACTATACTACATATAGTTTTACAATATGTGTAATGTATGATATAATAGTGCATATGCATATAACAGGAAAAATAGATGAAATAGTAATATTTTATCAAATCTAATGTAAAGTGCATACTTACATACTCTAAAGAATTTGTTTTATATTTGGTATGTTGGACTTTAGTTTTATATTACACTAGTGATTCTTTTCTTAACAATACTGTCATGATAAAATGCTTGTATGTAAAGTAAAAAGTTGAGAGTTATACTTGCATTCTATTTGGTGCTTAGATATAAATGAATTAAGCAAGATAGGTTATTAGAAATCTTTCAATTATATGTTACAGCAATAATATATTATTAGATTACTTCAGTTCCAATCATTTTAGATATTCCAGTATTCTAGTCATTCCAGCTATCAAATATATAAAACAAGGTGGGTTATTAAAATTCTTTGATTAAATGTTATAGCAATAATATATTATATTACTTATTTTATTTCTATTAGTTTTAATTGTTTTAGTGTTCTAGCATTCTAGTCATTCCAAAGTTCTAGTATTCTGGCATTCTAGTCATTCTAGTCATTTCAGTTATTCCAACTATTAAATGTATTAAGCAAGATGGATTATTAGAAATCCTTTAATTAAACCTTACAATAACAATATATTATTAGATTACTTACTCCAGTTTCATTAATTCCAATTATTCTAGTTTTAGTATTTCAGTCATTCCAGTTCCAGTATTCCAATCATTTTGGCATTCTAGTATTTCAGGTTCCAGTAGTTTCAGTATTTCAACTATTAAATGTATTAAACAAGATGGGGTATTAGAAATTTTTCAACAAAATGTTATAGCAATAATATATCATTAAATTACTTACTCCAGCTCTATTAATTCTAGTTATTCTAGCCATCAAATATATAAACAAGGTAGTTATTAAAAATTCTTTAATTAAACTTTACAGTAATAATATATTATTGAATTACTTACACTAATTCTATTAATTCAATTATTCTAGTTCCAGTTTTTCAGTTATTTCAGTCATCAAATACATAAAACAAGGTAATTATTAGAATCCTTTGATTAAATATTATAGAAATAATATATTATTAAATTACTTACTCTAGTTTCATTAGTTTCAGTTGTTCTAGTATTCCACATCAAATATATAAACAAGGTAAATTATTAGAAATCCTTCAATTAAATATTATAGTAATAATATATTATTAGATTACTTACTCTAGTTTTATTAATTTTCATTATTCTAGTCATTCTACAACAAATATATAAACAAGGTGGTTATTAGAAATCCTTCAATTAAACATTACAGGGATAATATATTATTAGATTACTTACTCCAATTCTATTAATTTTCATTATTTCAGTTGTTTTATCTAGGTATTAATAATGTCAAATAAAGATATATATAAAATGAGATAATTTATTTAGTAAAGCATTATAGTAGGCCTATTTAATTACTTGAAAGTCAAGCCTATAGTAACTTAATATAAATATATGATAATATTATTAATAAGTTACTATATACTTAATTTTCAAGTGATTAAATAAGCTCAGTATTTAATATATTAATAATTTATACATCTTTTAATTATAATAGTTCTATCTAAGCATTAACTATAACCAATGAAAATTTGAATTTGAGTTCACTAGTACTGTCTATTAATAATGAATTAGAATTACCTAAACAAAATCAAAATAATTTGGATAATTTACCTGAACAATACTTTAATAATGTTATTAACACATCTGACCCTGTTTTTACAATTTCAACACCAGTATCTGGTATGAGGTTTGAATCATAGACAGAAATTGATAAATATCTGGATGCCTACTATAATTTAAAAAACTTTTCTAAGATTATTTATAAAGCAAAATATAATAATAGAATACGAAAATGTTGTCATTATAATGTGAATATTAGGGCTAGTATCAAAGTAAAAAGAAAGTGATCATTGAAAAAGTGCAATACACATTTCAAACATAGTAGATACTTTTGGTCTGTAAATACCACATATCTCAAGACAACCAGTATTGTTAGCATAACTGCAGTTTTTTTAGAACATGAAGACCATCTATTTGATTTTCTTGCCAATAAATTTGATATTATGCATCAAACACTGACTAGCCAATATTGGCCAATATAGAATTTTGGACTACTAAAGGGAATCTTAGTATGCATACCAACATCAATTGCTTGAAGCAAATATAAAAATGTACTTGGATCACAAAAAGAGCAATGGGCACTTTCTTATATTTTATATATTTTTACTGCAAAGACCCAAACAACTCAAAGAGTAGAAAGTCAAAATGCAATAATTAAGAGTACAACTAATAGTCATATCTTTAGTTTAGAGCTTGTTAAAAAACTTGATATACAATTTAATCATATGTTTACTACAATTCAATATTAAAATTGGGTATATTCTGTGATTAGTTCAACTCTTGTACATTTAAGTTATGATTTTTCACCTATAATTAACAAATGAATTACTGAGTATCTAACATCTGTTGCTCTTTCAATACAGAGACAAGAAATAGTGCAGGCTGTCTGATATAAGATGTTTATAAATTTGATATTAATACATAGACTACTATTATAAAGAATTAGGCAGATTTATTAGATAAATTTATCTGATTTCTATTAATAATAGTTTATATATTATATGTAATAAACTATTATCAATAGAAATTAGATAGAGGGGTGTGGTGACCTAGTGAAGTGGTTAGGTTGTCAACCTCCAAGTGGCAGGTTCAGAGTTTAAATCCCAGTGTCAACAGAAAATTTAAAAATTCTTTCTGTTATAGTTAACTGTCTCTTGCAATTGGTTAGAATAAGACACCTGTAATCTATGTCGCACCAGCATGACTGGTAGGTTATATGTTATTTGTGTAACAGTCACATGACATTGTCCTTTGGGACAAGGTCTGTGGTTACATGAAGAAATGCAAACTGGTACCGGGTGGTGCAAACCTACAATAAGTCCTCATGGCCATATAAATTATAGGAACCAATAGAAGAAAGATGGAAGTCTACTTGGAAGACCCAAGTAGAGAGGTAACCCAAGCTTTTGACAATGCTACTGTAAAGACTAAACTTA